ATGGCAGTGGGATTCACAGGGAATCTGGGCACTGAAAACCTCAGCCCTTTTCTATCTTCCTGCCACCACAAATCAACTACATCTTCTGCAGTTAAAACAGACTATGCAGCCATTAAAGAGGGAGTCTGGCATATCTCACTTATCCTAAAGGGATGGTCAACGTTAATGCCAAATAAGAAAAGTAATTTGCAGACAAATGATCAAGGTTTGGTCTACTCTCAAGTGGTGCATTCACCCATCCTATGAAAAACAACAGGTTAAATGTCAAGGGCATGGATTCTGCAGTCAGCTAACTCCAATCCCAATTCCTACACTTTCTAATCACAAAACCCTGGACAAATTCCTCAACGTGTCTATGCCTTTACTTTCCCATCTGTAAAATGGGGATAACACTACCCACTATATAGTCACTGCAAAGGTTAAAAGAGTTGATACATATAAAACAATGTTTGCTGTTCTAATGATAGGTTTATCTCCAGGCCATGGTCACATGACACGAGCGCACAGTATATATGAACAGTGGGTGTAGAAGGATGGCCAGTGAGAAACATTCAACCTGAAGACAGACTGGGGGAACTCCGTAGATCACTGCGGATAAAATGTCTTGAGAGGGAATTAACTCACTCATGGAACACATCACAAGTGAGAAAACAAAGGCCACACGTGGATCCTGGGAAGTGGAACTATCTAAGAGATGGAAAGCACAGACCCCACGAAGGAGAAGGGCAGAAAGGCTCAGAAGCCAGCCAAGGACTCTTGAGGAAGAGGGCGGGCAGCACAAAGGCCCGATAAGGAGGGGTGCGAGTGGGGGCTTTGTGAGGGCTGCACCAGCCAGGCGGCCGTGGAGGAGGCCACTCTTTATTTGCCACTGGAGCACACCACAAGGAGGTGAGGACAGACGGTGGACAGGACGGTCCCACTGGGCGTGTCTGCGAGAGGAAAGACAAGGGTGGAGCTCAATGGGCATGTGGGGCAGAAAGTGCCCAGGGTGAGACTACAGACTGAACATCTGACAGTTGAGGCAAAAATGACAACCACATCCAATATGGCGCTCACTGTACAGATGATGAGGCTAGAAGGGCATTAAGAGGGACAAGGTAAAGACCACGAAGTATGGAAGCAGGTACAGCACGCAGGCAGAGATCCTCAACAAGCTGGGGGGCGGAGGAGGGGGAATGCATTCAGTCACGAGGAGGACGAGTGATCCTGGAGGGGGAGTGGCCGTCCCCCTTTGCGGCTGTAACAAGCCTTAGAGAACCAGGAAAGTCTACACACAAAGACAGAGAAGGAACGCGGTGACAGGCAGGTTTCCATATGAAACCATGGTGCACAGCGGAGGGGGACGTGGAAAAACAGACATCTTTTGTCCTGAAAGAACTGTGGATCAGACATCATATGTCCACAAAAATATCTTTCAAGAATGAAGGGGAAAAGACATTTTTAAATGAAGAAGAAAAAAACATTCATTAACAGCACACATACTTTACAAAGAACAGATATAGGAAACTTGCCAAACAGAAGGGAAATGTTAATAGAAGACTTGGGACTTCGAGAACGTAGAAAGAACAATGAAATGGTAAAATTAGAGATACACAGACTTCACTTCTCACAAACTTTGTTTAAAAAAAAAATCTTAAGACAGTTGAGGCAAAAATTACAATATCCAATATGGTGCTCAGTATACAATGAGAAACTATTTAGAACAACTATATTAAGAACAGGGAATGTAAAAGAACCCTAATGAAATCAAGGTTTCTATACGTCAAAGTGCTGAAATACTGATAACAGTCTGTGATTAAGTTATGTATATGTAATACACTACATACAGTAAAAAAATTAGATATATACTCAAAAGCATTACAGACATATCAAGTGGAATTCTAAAAAATATTAAAGTAACCCACAGGAAGGACGGGGAAGCTAAATAACAAGAGCTAGAAAACAAGAGTAACACTATAAAGGGAATACAACAAAAAAACAATTAAAATGGTACACTTAAGCTCTAATGTATCATTAACTATTTTGAGTTTACGAATTAAAAGTGGCAAAATGAATTAAAAAATATGATCCCAACTATTGCTGTTACAAGAAACTTAAAAAATACAAACTGCAAACACTACAATTTCTTAATTGTACTTCAATACTTCATCACTCCTCTCTCTGCAACTGACAAGAACAACTACACAGAAAGTAAGCAAGGATATAGAAAATCTGAAAAACATCCCCAACAAAGAAAATTGTGCAGACATTTATAGAAACTCCAGCCAATGACAGCAGAACACACATTCTTTTCAAGAAGTCTTACAGCACATTCAACAAGACAAACCACCCCCAAAGGCAATAAACAAACTTCAACAAATTTAAACAGTCAAACCAAATGTGAAACAAACAAGAAATCAATAACAAAATGATACCAGAAAATGTTTCAAACAGTAGAAAATGAACTAAAAAACTTCTAAATAATCCACAGGTGACAGAAGAAGTCTCTAAAGGAATCAAGGGGTATTCAGAACTGAATGAACTGTAATAAAAACTTGTGGGATAAAATGAACAGTGATGTGGTAGAACTTTATAATACTTAATGTTTCATAAGAAAATAAAAAGTGTCAAATCAATAATCTCAGCATCCCTCAAATTAAAAAGTGCAAAATGCAACCAGAGCAAAGCAGAAGATAGGCTATAATAATGACTGGAACAGAAATCAGTGAAAGTAAAAACAGAAAGGAACAGAAAAGAAAATCAGTAAAGTGCTGGTTCTTGAAAACAATCAGTAAGATTGGTAAATGTCTAAGAAGACTGACGATGATTAAAAGGAATTTACCATTTCCAAAATCAGGAATAAAATGGTATATAAGTACATACCTTGCTGCCGTTAAAAAAAATAATGAGGGAATACTTCCAACAAGTCTAAAATTGAGATGAAATGAAACACTTCTTTGAAGAGGACCAGCTATCCAATTTATCCAATATGAAAAGACACTCTGAATAGTTCCATATTTATCAACTAGTATCCAGAAAATCTCCAGGCCCAAATGGTTCACTGGACTATTGTAAAACATTAAAACAACAATTAAAAACAATTACACACTGTCTTCCTAAAAAACAGAACTTGAGAGGCCACTATCACCTTGACACCAAAATCAGACAATGATAGTAGCTAAAAGCAAAGAATGGCAACTATGCACCACCAATCAAGAGATTAGAGGAAAACTTCTTCAATAAAATACAATACAATTGAATGCTTTAATATATATTTTAAAACATACACTCCATAACCAAGTGAGGTTTATTCCAAGGATGCAAGGCTGGTTCAATATGCAAAACTCAATGTAATACATCATATCAATTGGCTATCAAAGAAAAACCGGATGATCACATCAACTGATGGGAGGAAAAGCATCCAACAAAACCCAACACTCAAGCATAATGAAAATCTCACCAAATTAAGAACTGAGGGAAACTTTCGAGACTTGACAGGAAAAGTCTACAGAAAAAAAACCCAAAAACTTATAACACTGTACTTGATGAGAAAACTGAACGTTTTCCCCCTAATATCAGAAACCAGTCAAGGATGTCCTCTCTTACTACTCCTACTCAACATCATACTGGAAGTCCTAGCAAGTGTATTAAGAAAAGGAAATAAAGAGAATACAGATAGGAAGAAAGAAAAGTGTTTGCAGTTGACATGTCTATGCACAAAATACCAAGGATTCTATCTAAAGAAATGACTAGAAGTAATAACTGAGTTCAGCCAAGGCTACAAGACACCAAAATACCACCCCCAGAACAATTATCTTTCTATATACTACTAAAGGAAATGAGGAAATCAAAGTTTAAAGATCAGTGTCAACAGAGAGTCCCCTGGCAGTCCACCGCCCGAGTGGTTAGGACTCTCAGCTGGCCTGGATTTGATCCCTGGTTGGGAACTAACATCCTACAAGACACAAGGGGAAAAAAAATCAATGCATTTATAAACCACTTCTAAGAGTTTACAGGGCCTGAATTATTGAAAATTACCAAATGGTAATGAAATACCAGAATGCTTAATGACATGTCATATCATGTACTGTGTTCAGTGTCACTTCTGAACAAACTGCTCTATAGGTTTGAATCAATCTCTATAAATGCTGAAGCAAGATTTTTTTTGCATGCTAAGATTCACATGGGAAGTCCAAGGAACTAGGAAAGCTAAGTCAATTTAAATAATACTAGAGATGATTCATTTATCCAATTTTAAGATTTATGGTAGAGCTAAAATTAAGTAAACAACAGACTGAATCAATAAAAAAGTCTGAATGTTTGCTGTTTAAAACCACCAAAAGAACAGTTTGTTTTTTTTAAAAAAACTAAAGCCTGAAGGTCTTAACTGGTGCAATAAAATGTGCCTGTATACCATGTGTGTATCTTTATCTACTTAAATACCTGCCCTCAACTATCTAACTATCCCGACACTGGATAACGAGTGTGTATACAAAGACCCACCAAGAGTCAAGGCCCTTTGCCAGTGAAATAAATGTTCCGCTCACCCCAAGTAAACTAAGGAACCCATCTCAAAGTGCCATAAGCTTGACAGAGAAGTCTCAAAGGAACTGTGTTTGCATTTCATTTGCTTATCTAAGTTTCCATCTTCTTTTTACAAAAATTCCTGAGATAACACTACAGTGTAAACTAAGGAGAAAAGCACAGCTAGTTTTCCTTAGTGCACAATAAACACTAGTCTCTCCCTTACGGATGAATTCTCAGATGCAGAATAAGGCTCCACGCTGGGTCAATTTCTAAAATAGGTCTTTACACAACGATGGATGATCTAACAGATTTTCTCAAAGCGAAGATACTTGAGGGGTTTCTCTTTGGTATGTACGATCAGATGTCACAGTAGATACTTTCTCTTGCAAAAGATTTTCCTCTGTGTTTACATTCAAAAAGTCTTTCCCCAATAGGAGTTCTCGGAGGGTGACAGAGGTTTGCCCACTTGTGAAGGGTCTTCCCACATTTGTCACACTGACAGACTTTCTCCCAGTATGGATCCTTTGATGCTGAGTGAGGGAGGAACTGCGACTGAAGGCCTTTCCACACTCACTGCACTTATAGGGCTTCTCTCCAGTGTGGATGATGGCATGTCGAATGAGGTTTGTGCTCCAGCAGAAGGACTTCCCGCACTCCATGCATTCATAGGGCTTCTCTCCACTGTGAATCCGCTGGTGTCTGGTGAGGCCAGACCTGCGGTTGAAGGCCTTCCCACACTCCGTGCACTCATACGGCTTCTCTCCAGTGTGGATGCTGAAGTGCCGAATGAGGTCTTTCCTAGTGCTAAAGGCTTTCCCACATTCTTTGCACTCAAAAGGTTTCTCGCCAGTGTGTGCCCTTTTATGCAAGATGAAAGTGGAGCAGTGGGTGAAGGCCCTTCCACACTCAGCGCACACAAAAGGCTTCTCCCCAGTGTGGATCCGCTGGTGCCGCTTGAGGTATGACCTGTGGTTGAAGGCCTTGCCACACTCGAGGCACTCGAAGGGCTTCTCCCCGGTGTGGATGACATAGTGGTGAATGAGGGCTGCGCTCTCACAGAAGGCTTTCCCACACTCGCTGCACTCGTAGGGCTTCTCCCCAGTGTGGGTCTGCTGGTGCCACATGAGGTATGACCTGTGTTTGAACACCTTGCCACACTCGAAGCACTCATATGGATTCTCACCACTGTGGATGATGTGATGTCGAAGGAATCCTGGCCTGTGTCGGAAGACCTGCCCACATTCTTTGCACACAAAGGATTTTTCCCCAGTGTGTCTCCTCTTATGTAAGACAAAATTGGAGCGGTGGGTGAAGGCCTTTCCACACTCACTGCACTTGTAGGGCTTCTCCCCACTGTGAATCCGCTGGTGCTGGGTCAGGTAGGACTTGCGGTTGAAGGCCTTGCCGCACTCCATGCACTCGTAGGGCCTCTCCCCGGTGTGGATCATGTGGTGCTGCAGGAGGTGTGTGCTCTTAATGAAGGTTTTCCCACACTCAGTACATTCATAGGGCTTCACTCCAGAGTGAATCTTTTCATGTCCAGCAAGAAGGTGTTTCTTGTTAAAAACTTTCCCGCACTCGTTGCATTTGAAGAGACTTTCCTCGTCCTGAATCAGGGGACCTTTACTTGATCCACCGGCGGCACGGTCATGGACAGCACCCCCTGGAGGGACTGGCTCCTCTATGACCCTTGAACACACACCACCAGCTGTCCCTAAGCTGCCGTGCTCAGGACTTATTTTTTCATGAAGCTTCTCCCTCTGGGGGTTGATCCCTGGTACAAAGTGGTCTCCCTGCACTGCCAGCAGCCCATCCCAATCCTTCGTCTGTCCCAGCTGGGAGTCCCCTGGGCCTCCGTGTGTCAGTTCCTGGAGAGAGGCTCCCTCAGACAGCGTTGGCTCACAACTGGTAGGTTCTGCGGTCTTGGGTTTTCCTTTGTCAACTGAAAGAAATACAATAAACAGGGCCTGTTAGTAATCCAACATAGAAGAAATGAAATTAGCATTTCAGTGAGAAAAAAATAAAGATGAAAGGAGTGTTCTGGGTCTGTTATGCTTTGCTACCACTGACTCTCAGGATTGTTCATTTCCTTCTTCCTTGGTCATTAGACTGCTGACTCCCTCCAAGAGAGTTTATGTGAGGAGATAAAGGGTATGGAGTGGACACACCACCATAACTTTATAGACATAGCTGGGCAGAGTAATAATACCTCTGTGTGCTTTCAGTTTCTGTAAGCAAGGACGTCCCAACTGTTGTAAGAACACCAGGAAAAGGGGAATTCCTTGGAGGTCCAGTGGTTAGGACTTGGTGCATTCACTGCCAGGCCTCGGTTAAATCCCTGGTCAGGGACGTACTTTAGATTCTATGAGCTATCTGTAGCTCATAGATGGGATAGCTCATTATGGGAACCTAGATAGATTATGCTAAAGAGATAACATGACGACTGACCAGAGCAGAAAGACCACACATGTAATCAGAATCTTGGGGTTTTGAACCATGAGTTATCAGCGGGCACTCTGGAGCGGGAAAGAAGGCTGGACACTGAGTCCCATGTTCAACGACTCAGTCAGTCACGCTTCTGTAACGAAGGTCAATTAATCTACATACCCGGGCCCTGGTGAGGTTCACGGGCTGCCAACGCTCTGTGCACATACTGCCAAACATCAATTCCTGGAGGTAAAGAGTCGCGGAAGACATGGAAGCTTCGTGACTGGAACACCTCCAGCCCTTCTTCTGATCTGTATCCTGTACCAAACATACTCTGTGAGCATAACAGGTTCAAGGGGAGTTTCCCTGAGTCTAGCAAATCAATGAACCCGAGGGTGGACTGGGAAGTCTCTCGACTTTCAGTTGGTTCAGAAGACCAAGGCAGGCCCGGCAGTGCTGGAATTCTATGTTCCTAATCCGGGGTTTGGCTAACTGTGTGCAGGAAGAGGCCAGGGGAGCTGTACACTGCAGGAGCCCCACACCAACTCCAGGCACACCCCAGGAGACAGTGGGAAGGACACAGCCTACGGAGACAATGTACAAAAGCCCCACAGCCACGAGGATGCTGCTGATGAGAATGCAGGGGCGCTGACCTGGGTCACTGTGGAAACGCCCAGGACACAGCTCTTAAGGCAGGATGGGAGGCAGGGCGGAACAGACACACTGTGTCTGTTGTGTCTCAACAGTGTGGTGAAAAGACTAGCGAAACACACATGATCTAGATAAAGAAAATGTCAATACTTTCCTTGAGGACATTAAAGAGGAGCTAAACCAATGAAGAATTTAATGTGGGAGATGGTGAAATTGGAGAGTGACAGTCAAAAGGTGCAAACTTCCAGTTGTGAGATTAAGTAACCGAGGGATGTAATGTACAACTCTATGACTGTAGTTGACACTGCTGTATGATATACAGCATCATTAAGAGAACATTCCTTAGAGTTCTCATCACAGTGAGAAAACTTTTTCCCTTTTATCTTTTCTTCTTTTCAATGTATTTAATATCTTATCTTTTCAATGTATTGTCACCATGCTCATATTCAGAGTACATTGTGCGAAACACCAGGCTGGATGAAGCACAAGCTGGAATCAAGATTGCCAGGAGAAATATCAATAACCTCAGATACGCAGATGACACCACCCTTATGGCAGAAAGCAAAGAGGAACTGAAGAGTCTTTTGATGAAGGAGAAAGAGGAGACTGAAAAAGCTGACATAAAACTCAACATTCAAAAAACAAAGATCATGGTATCGGGTCCCATCACTGCACGGCAGATAGATGGGGAAATGATGGAAACAGTGACTGACTTTATTTTCTTGGGTTCCAAAATCACTGCAGACGGTGAGTGCAGCCATACAATTAAAAGATGCTTGCTCCTTGGAAGAAAAGCTATGACCAACCTAGATAACATATTAAGAAGCAGAGACATTACTTTACTGACAAAGGCCCGACTAGTTAAAGCTATGGTTTTTCCAGCAGTCATGTATGGATGTGAGAGTTGGACCATAAAGAAAGCTGAGTGCCGAAGATTGGATGCTTCTGAACTGTGGTGTTGGAGAAAACTCTTGAGAGTCCCTTGGACTTCAAGGAGATCAAACCAGTCACTCCTAAAGGAAATCAGTCCTGAATATATACTGGAAGGACTGATGCTGAAGCTGAAACTCCAATACGTTGGCCACCTGATATGAAGAACTGATTCATTGGAAAAGACCCTGATGTTGGGAAAGATTGAAGGCAGGAGGAGAAGGGGACAACAGAGGATGAGATGGTTGGATGGCATCACCAACTTGATGGACATGAGTCTGAGCAAGCTCCGGGAGTTGGTGGTGGACAGAGAGGCCAGGGGTGCTGCAGTCCATGGGGTTGCAAAGTCGGACTTGACTGAGCAACTGAACTGATCTGATACAGGAAGATGCATGTTAGCTTAACCAATTGGTAATCACTTTGTAATATACGTAAATCAAACCAGCATGCTCTATGCCTTAAAACTTATACAGTGATGTATATTGATCGTTTCTCAATAAAACTGGAAAAAAAATGAATCATATGAAGCTTACAATTCTATCCCAATGAATTTGTATATTCAACACAATTTCCAATAAAATACCAATTGGGTTATTGTGCAACTCAGTAGTTTTACCATGGGATTTGCATGAAAAATAAAGATGCAAGAATAATGAGAATTAAGAAAAAGATATCTACCTTAGCAGGTAATAGGATTCTAGACTTTAAGACACCGTGGTCCTGGTACAGAGAGAAGACAAACAGGCAATGGAAAAAGAACAGAGAGCCCAGGAAACACACACACATGGAGCTCTGGGGAATGAAAGAGAATGGAGAGCAGCTCACAGTAAAAGGAAAGAATATAAAGTAAATGGAGCTAGAAAAATGTGTGACACACTGGGAATGAGAACACTGTATTCCTGTCTCACACTATCCTCAAATTCTACCTCACACCAGAAAGAGTTAAATGTCAGGTGCCAAGCTTAGAACATCTTATAACGAGAACATCTTTTTGATATTAGGGGCGGAGCAGCACTTATAACTGACAGAAGTATCAGTAATGTAAAAAAATCCCTAAAAACAAAAGTCAAACAAGTTAACAGAACACCTGGCATTTTCGATGAACTGACATTTCAAAGAAGAAAATACAGCTGTTCTTCAGTATCCACAGGGGAATAACTGGTATCAGACACTTCCTGCTCAATACCCAAATCCAAAGATGCTCAAGTCCTATGTAAATGCCAGTTTTTGCACATAACCTACACACATCCTCCTGTGTACTTTAAATCGTCTCTAGAGCGCTTGTAATATCTAATACAATGTAAATGCTATGTAAATAGTTGCCAGCACAAGGCAAACTCAAGTTTTGCTTTTTCGAGCTTTCCGGGATTTTCTTTTCCCCTAGTGTCTTCAATCCGTGCTTGATGAATCTAGAGAGTCAGAGCCTGCAGATGAGGACAATTGTACAAATGGGCCGATAATTACATGATAAGAAGCTAAAGCTTGTGAACAATTAAGGAAATGCAAGGCAAGCTCACCTAAGACACAATTTTGTCAATTTGTTAAGCAAAAATCAAAGTGCCTAAGAGCATCAAGGACAGAACAGGACACAGTCAGTGGAATCTAGAGAATTATAGATAGGCAGATCTCTTTGAGAAAACCACCACAATTGTCACTAAACTTGAAAGTTTGCACAGGCTATAATCCAACAATTTTACTCCTAGAAATAACAAAAGACAGGCCTAATCATGTGCAAGATGACCAATACATACGGATATTCTTGGTAGCACTGTCTGTGAGAGTGACGAAATGTGAAAAATTAAATGCCCTAGAGAGTGGATGAATATGAAACAGGAATATTTTTTATATATTTTATTCAAGTGGAAGAAACTTGAGCACATTTTTATGTTGAGTAGTCAAAGGATAAAGTTACTAAGGGGCTTCCCTGGTGGCTCAGAAGCTAAAGCATCTACCTGCAATGTGGGAAACCTGGGTTCGATCCCTGGATCAGGAAGATCCCCTGGAGGAGGAAATAGCTACCCACTCCAGTATTCTTGCCTGGAAAATCCCATGGACACAAGAGCCTGGCGGGCTACAGTCCATGGGGTCGAAAAGAGTAGGACATGACTGAGCGACTTCACTTTCAAAGTTACTAAACAAGCAGTAAATAAGAAATACTTTCCTTAAAAGGTGTAACCTAGACTCTGGTTCAAGAACTGGCCATGAAGTGTGCCAAGATCTCTTAAACCATGTGAAAGGAAAAGTACAGCCTGGGAACCTGAGTGCGGAAGGGCTGAGGACCAAGCAAGAATTTACTGTGGAGATTTGCTGACACCCCAGGGTCATATGCTGACACATCTGCACCGGGGAGGCAGTCACTGTCGGGATGGCCGGATGCAGGGCTGCTGGAGGTGGGGGCGAGGGTCTGGGGCGGCCTCCAGTCTCCAACCTGCGCAGACGGCAAGACCATGTGCTTGAGCATGGAAGTGAGCACCGGGATGGGTTCTCTGAGGCGTGCTCACCTGAGATCCTCAGATGGAGGTGTGTGGAGAGCAGGGGGCAGAGGCTGGGAGGCCCCTCTGAGGGGCCACCAATGGCCACACACAGATGCTCAAAGGCCGGCCGGGCCACTGAGTGAGTAGGAGTGGGAAGAGCACACCTCTGCAGCAGCCCCGGCACCACACACAACGGCTCCAGCACCCTCAGCCGCCCAGACATGGCCACAGGACAGACGTCACAGGGAGGCTTCACCCAACACGGGGGTAAGGGCGACAGGGGGACAAGGGAGCGGGGGCTCCTAAGTGTCTGAACGACAGGGCGAGAAGGGGAAGCAGAGGAGGGCTGGAGAGGCGCTGGGAGGGGAAGCACGAGCCACACTGTTCATCATGACCGACGGGACACGGCGGTACAACAGCTCACTTCCCGAGAGACTACGACCACGGCGCAGACCCTGTGCTGAGCGGTTTTATGCTCTAAAACCACACACCCGCAGCAACCCCAGGACAGAGCGACCATCATGACTGGCGCCTCCAGGAGCAGCCCCCCTCGCCAACCTCCTGCTCCTCTCCTGGGGCGGAGGGCTCAGTCACAGCTCCCCGCCCACCGCCCCAGCGTGGCCAGGTGCCCAGGGCCTTCCAGTGGAGGGAGCAGAGGGCCGGTGTTTGTGGGAGTCAGAGTGGCGTCACCCCCCACCTCTCTGCTATCTGCAGGGGGTCAGGACCACCTGAAGCCACATACTGACGACAGGACGAACCCGGGGCCCCGCACGGCCGTGTGCTGCAGAACCCCCGTGACCCACAGGGACGGGGCGTGAGTCACAAACAGCGGCTCCACTGCGTGAGCGCCGAGAAGAGAGGCTGGAGTCTCCCTGACACTGCGGCCAGGCCGTAACTCAGCCGAGCTTACGTGCAGACACGACGAGATCCCGAGCTTCACCGCGGTCACAGAGCTGGTGGTGGGCACCCAGGCCTGAAGCCCAGGACACATCTGAGCGTGTGCACAGCTGTCCTCGGGAAGGACAGAGGGACCTGGGGTCAAAGGGCTCCGTGGCTTCCAGACCACCAGAGGCCCGAACGAGATGCTTCCCGGGGAACCAGGGCAAGCGGCCTCTGTGGGCCTCTGCCCGCAGCTTGGCTCCTACCTGGACAGGTGCTTCCGGAGAGGTCTCTCCTCACTGTCCACAGCTGCTGCCCGTGTTCCAGCTGGCAGATCAGCTCAGGTCTGGGGACAGGACACCCTGGGCATGGAGAAAGGAGGAAGACACGGGGGCTTCTGTGAAGACTGGGAAGACCGCTCAGTCTCGTGTGGGACTTCAGGATGTGGACCTCAGAATGAAGCTGCTCCCATACACAAAAATCCAGACCTGTGACCTGGAAAGCAAGGTCAGAAGCAGCACTGCTGGGACCCAGACTTCAGACAGCAGTGAGAGTTGTGTAGACAGCTACTGTTCCCTTTGACCTCCTTCACGCAGAGCTCCAAGAACCCTGTTCAGCTGTAGCCAAGAGACCCAGAGAACACAACCCCCTCCTTCCAGAGGCTGTTTCCTAATCAGTCCAAGTGAGTCTCAATCACATGAGCATCAAAACCTTCCGGGATGTCTGGTTCATATCTAACTGAAAGCTAATCTCTGCAGACAGGGCCTGGGCAGAAACAGATTAAAAGCACCCCAGACTCTGGCCTCAAGAAGGGCTGAGAACTCAGATCTCCACTAACTGACAGGTGACCCACACCAGGCCCTGTGGAGGAGAGTGCCCCGGTCCAGGATGGCTGATTGAGGGGACTCGCCGGTGCCATGTCCTGCAGCAGCCTGGGTCGCCCATCAGGTCGCCTGCCTGTCAGGAAAGCTGCCCGAGACCCTAGACCAGGAAGAGGCAAAGAAGCAGACAATTGGGTTGCAAGCCACCAACCCGGGAGCCAGTTCCAGCCCTGCGCCTCTGACTGGTGAGTTAATAAACTTCCTCCAGAGTGAAGACTGAGCTGGTCTGCCACATGCAGCCACTCACAGATGCAGGGGCAAGACACGTGGGTTCCACAGGAAGTGGATGGCAGAGGCGCCAGGACTCGCAGATGATCTCCTCTGGGAGATCCAGGGTTCATCACTCATCACTAAGCAACTGTGCTCTCCCGTCTGCTCCAATCCCAGCACAGGGCTCAGCCACCAGGAGTCACCCTCCCGACTACCTCAGGGCCTTTGCACGTGCTGACCCTCCTCCCTGGGTCTCTGCTCAAATGCTGCCCCCTGAGAAGACTCTGCTCAACCTTGGCTGAGTCCAGGTGCTTAACCAACCCACCATATCACTATCAACCTTTAATCTTAATTATAAGTGAAAATTAATTTGTACAGGGTATATCCATATCACAGGGATTGTGCCAAGCAATTTACAATTACATTATTTAAAATGACAATGAACTGATGGAATAATTTAAAGAACTCACATATTTGAAACATCGACTCTTCAGTCAAAATAAGGTATGATGACCTCATTGATATGTCTTTTTTAGATCCCAAGCAAAGTTCTGAAGTCTGAAGCTGTGACTGGCCAAGTCTGCAAGGGCTGTGAGTCCCTAGCTGCCACCTGATCTGAGAAGAGACTAATCTTATTAGTTGGTCTCTCTGTGGTCAACATACCAAGTTTCTAGGTTGGTGACCCAGGGGCAACCAGGTAACTGGTACTGCACCAGGCCCAGGTCCCCTCAAAGATACAACTGCATCAACTGAGCCAACATCACTGAAGTCTGGGGGCAGGTGGGGAGAGGCACTCAACCCAGCTTACTCCAGACTGTACAAGCCCTGCCGTGGGTCTGGGCGGTCCTGTGGAACAGACGCCCAAAGGTCACACCACTGCTGTCTAGAGGCACGAGACCCAGCCCCTCCCTAGAAAGGGAGGCCGCTGCTCACAGACTCACCACTTGGGACTGCTGGGAGCCTACCCGGAGAACACCCAAGTAAAAGAAAAATGGTCGGGGATAGAAAGGTGGCCAAAAAAAATATTTTTGTTTGGAGGGTAAAAAAGGAGTGGGCAGGAAGAGGACGGGACTAATTATTATGCGATGCACCAGGGCCACGCCAGGGAGAGGCTGAACTTAAGAGACCCAAGCCCCTCCCCGATAGGAGATAGACTAAAACTAAAAACCAGGGCTTTAAAAGAATAAAAGCCCAAAAGGGAAAACGGGAGGGAGTGGTGGCACACACTTTAAACCTTACATACCAAGCAAATGCCAGGTCTAGCAGACACAATACTGGTTCTAGACTGGTACTGACTCAAACATAGTAACAACAAAAACCGAACCAAAAGCCCTAGATAACAAGGAAAGAGTAAAACATTTAACAAGAGAATATACAATACATAACTAAATTAGAACACAGTTTATAGTTGGACCCAAATGGAAATCCAAAATTTTTATACTATAATTTACATAGTAAATTATATATAAATAACATAACAAAACATATTTAAAAAGTTTATATTACTGAAACATAACAAGGCACAGATTGGTTTGTCTGACCCTACAACACAAGTTTTTGAATTATCTTCAGAATTTACTAAAATGTACCAACAGACAAAACCTCATGAACTTAATACTGTGGCTCAAATCATAGTTATAACCGGGAATCCCCCTAAACTGAAACACTGCACTCTGTCATCTTAAAAAGTAACTAAATTCTAAAGAGGAAAAACGGGCATGTCTCACTTTAACTCTATAGCTTTGCCTGAACTTCCTATAGGCCAAGTATCCACTGTTCTAAAAGTACCCTGCATTGGGCATTGATGCTCTGACATAATACATAATTAAAATGAATTTCTGGCACTTATAAATTAATTGACTTGATGAAATGGGACCCCACACACCCAAGTGAAAATAATTATTCAGCCAATGTTAAGTTGAAAAGTAAATTTCAGGGAGCAAACCTTATGTGTAAGACCTAATTCATCAAGGGGTGATGATCCCCACTGCTGCTCCATTTGACAGCCCAACTGTGCCTGTTCCTAAATCTGAAAAGACCCAAGGCCCCTCACTGTGAGTTACTGCAACCTTCATTCTGCGGTCCCACCCAGCTTCAGGGTTCCTATCATGGACTGAATTGTGTTCCCCTAAGCTGAATGTGTTACCCCCTAATCCCCAATGTGATCCGACTTGGACTTAGGGCCTTTAAGGAGGTAATGAAGATGAAAAGAGGTCATGGGGTAGGGCCCTGATCTGGTAGGACTGGTACCCTTTGAAGAGGAAGAAAAGGTCCCTCCAAGCCAGAGCAAAGGTCAGGTAAGGGCTCCCAAGCAGGCGATCAGCAAGAGATCCTTATCGGGAACTGAACTGGGACGTCCAATGTCCAGAAACTGTGAAAATAAAGCTGCTTAACCACACAGTAGAGGCAGTCTGAGCTGACGAACAAGATCCACACACCCCAAACCCAACATTGTTAGAAGCCAGTAATTACTTGCCCTGACAGACTGGGCTAAGGTATTCTGTTTGGTGTCAGTTTTGACAGGCTCACAGCCTTGGTCTGCCTTCACTCTGAAGGGAAACAGGACTCCTCTCCCATCTCCAGGCTGCCAACACCCACACCCTCGGCAGCTGAGACCTCAGCTGCACCCCTTCTCTGCAGGAGCGCTGGCGACATTACATTGACCACAGCCTTTCTAAGGAGATGCTATCTGACACAGGACAGACAGTAGGCCAACATCTGTTAAACCTCTGGGGCTAGTTTTAGATAGCACTCCCATTTAGTATGACTTGGCGGCCATGTATTCGTTTATAGATTTTACTTCATCTCCCTGATGCTGAAACTTATAAATCAGCCCACGCTGAACAGGGCTCCCTCCAACAAAGGCTCTAAAATCAGCTCCCAATACTGCTGGAAAGCCAGTCCCACTAGAGCCCTCAGAGACTCCTTCACTAAAAAGGCTTTGCCGACCTCTTCGCACACCTCCTGGAGTTCCTGAAGCACGGACCAGGGCCATGAGATGCCCAGACTGTGCCCTCAGCCCGCTGCGGCATGCTGTCCAGACCACCACGAGCCACACACAAGGCTCTCCTGACAACAAAGGCTCTCTCAGACCTGGAGCCTCTGACCTCCACACCCAACTGCCCATCATGTTCTGGGTCATGAAAACAGCACAGACCAAGCTCAGCACAGCTATCGGGGCTCAGGACAGGATGGCACAGACCCTAGGCCCTCTGACACATTCTACTGGGAGGAGGCGGTGGCTTCTCCTGTCCTCAGCTCCTTGCCAAATGCCGTGGTGCTGGGGGGGGGGGGGGTCACCCCTCCCAGGCTACCCGGGGAGCTCCTCGGGACTGAGTGAGTGAACCGCTGGGGGGGTCCCTGACTGTTGTCCATCACACGTGACGCTGCTCTGTAGAATGCTGCTGCTTTCTGCCTTGTGGCCAGCATGTCCCAGTGAAAAGTGGGACCTAAGAAACACTGTGTGGCCTACTCAGGGGCTAATCTTAGTACCAGAGGCCCTAATCAGCAAACGGCTTCACATTCATTATCAACTGCTGGGCCATCGCTTCAAAACTGCCTCTTTCAGGCTAAAGAACCTCTTGTCCCACAGGTACCACAAAAGCAAGTCAAAGTCACATGCCCCTACATTTATAAAGGTGACCACGCAAGCTTTGCCAGGATGCTCCTGAGTCCCTCTCGGATGACAGGCATTACTGACAGTGACCAAGATACACATTTCACTTCACAAACTACACAATGCTGGGCTCTGGTGAGAGGCAATCAATTGAGCTCCCCGGCCCCAATAGGCCCCAAACAGCTGGTTTAACTAGAGAATAACAATATCCTTCAACAACTCCTTTTCAAATTCCAGTCTGACAAATCCCCAAATAAACCTGTCTCGCCCCGTAGCCTTAATTCAAGGTCCCCTGGCCTACTTACACCACACCGACTTCGGAAACGCCCCACCGCCCTTTGCCATGCTGAAGGGGACCGTGGCCCCGCTCTGCGCACACCAAGACTAGCCCTACAGCAGGCCACTCACCTGTCCTCCCTGTGCTCACGCACGGAGCCTGCCATCATGCCACGAGGCTGGAGGCGGGGCCGAGGGAGCACACGCCCCGGGGACTGTCCCGGAGCCTGGGCAGCTGCTCGTCCGATGTGGGATCCACCAGGCCTGAACTCCAAAACCAGACAGACCGAACCTTGAAGAAGAGCCCTATGCCACTCTGAGAACTGCTCTTCTGATACTGGTCTGGGCACCTTCAACGCTTTCTAACTCAGAGGCCCGAACCCTCCTACTAAGCCACTGTGTCAAACAAACCAGCAAATGCTGAGGTTATCATCAAGTTGAGTGCGTACCCACTTGCAAAGGTTACCTTGTCCCATACCCCATCAATGAAGTGGACTTCACCCGGGGACACTAAAACTCTCACTCTAGTGGATATGTATGGACTGCCTCTCCTAGGACAGAAATCAGAGCTGCAGCTTTTGGCTTTCTTTTAGGGATTCTATCATATACGATCATGTTCCTGAGCTGCCATCTACAATCCTGGTATATTCCTTAACCTGCCAAACGGGAGACCTGATAGAAGATGCTACTATCTGTGATATTTCAAAAACAAATGGAGATTATGGCTTCCCTCACAAAGCACTTGTTTCCTATAATCAACCTTCTAACCCTCTGAAGAGAGCGGCACCCGCTTCCCAAAGGTGCCTCCCCACTACCCACTCCAGCGTTCCACCGGAAGGTGTGGAGAAGACGGCCACAAGAAAAGCCAAAATGCCCAAGAACACCCACCAGGAAAACAGAACAGCACCTCAGAGGCCTGAGGCAAACATGTCAAGTATGTGTGGAAACAGCAAGACGCCAGTGTGACCAGAGGGGCGAGCGTGGGGAGAGCCTGGGGAGGCGGGTGGAGGATCGGGGCTCGATGGTGGGCATTTTTATTTGTTTAATTTTGTTATGAAATATCTAAACATGTCAAGCGTTTCCTGATTTTCTTTAACTTCCTCTCACTAACAGAGAACACAATCCCAGGTCTCTAAGAACAGGGCCGTCTCACTGAAGCCCTGGGTTTACAGCCCTCCCTTCCCTCAAACTGAGCGGCCTGAGGGGACCGTCCCCGAGCTGCTGTTTCTCCACCGTGGCTCTCCGGCCCATGCGGACTGGGTCATCCTCGGCTGAGCGGGGCTGTCGTGTCCACCCTCTGGTGCTGAGGGGCATCTCTGGACTCATCACCAGACCCCGGGATCTCCCACCCCCACGAGTGACGGGCAGAGGTGGCTGCAGACGCTGCCTGATCTCTCCGGGGCACAAAACCGCCACATGCTGAGAAGTGCTCCTCTCCCAGCTTCTCCTTCTCAGACCAGCAGATGACCCCGGCCGAGGCTGAGCGAACACGAGACACCCATGAAGGCGCAGGAGGGCAGAGAAGCCCCCTGACTGGGACCCTGCACTTACACGAGACACCCATGAAGGCGCAGGAGGGCAGAGAAGCCCCCTGACTGGGACCCTGCACTTAGACAGGACCGCTGGCACTGACGACAAAGGCCTCCTGGGGCCCCGGCTGCCTCACCCTCCTCCTGGAGAACAGCTTGGCACCCACATCCTGTGCACGCGGGTGTAGGGGCGCTTGGGAACCGGTCCCATTCGGTCGGCTCCCTCTCTGGAATGTGAAAACAGGAAGCTCGGACAGAGGCCGGTCCGTGCTGGGCCCTAGGCTGAGAGGCTCAGGTGGTCACTTCCACCTCACAGACATCCCCACCCCCACCCAGAGCCCTGCAGCGGAGAAAGAGCAACAATATAAACATACGGAGAAACAAGGCATCTGGGAGCCTTGGAGAGCAGGGACTGGGGTGGTCACTCCTGTCAAACTTGATGGGGTGCAAAAGCCATTCTGAAAAGACAGAGATGTGAGCAAAGCCAGAGAAAGAAGCCAGGACAGGAGACCCAGAAGCCAGGGTATAATCCTGGTTCTCGTATTTCAGTCCCATGTGGCCCAACTGGAAATGCTGCCTTTGGGTTCTGCAGAACATTCATTTCCTTCCACCACCTTCTAAGAGCCAAAGGGGTCTTTCTTGCCCAAAGTGACACTAAGATAGCAGGCAGAGAGAGATGAATCTCAAACATGAGTGACGCTGTATGGCGGGGAGGCTTCTGGATCAGCTAGGCATGGAGCTAGAGCGTGCCTGCAGGGCTGAGTGGGAGGCCTTACCCAGAGACAGCAGGAGCCTGCACGTCTCCAGCATCACCTCCTGGTACAGGGTCCTCTGAGCCGGGTCCAGATGGCCCCACTCCTCCTGGGTGAAGGTCACGGCCACATCATCAAAGGTCACAGACACCTGTCAAGCAGAGGTAACAGAGCTCATTTCTAAAAGGCTGGTAAAGGTGCAGAGAGATCAAGGCCTTAACCATGGAGCACTGTCTGAGGGCTAGATCTAGGCTGGGCTGAAGGGGAGGTGAACAATGTTTTGGACATAATACAGTAGTGTATTATGAAGTCTGTAAGAGATGCCTCCTATGCAGGGCCACTGGAAAGTCACACAAGACAATGGAAGTGACGTGTGGGCTGTGAAATGCAGACAGGGCTCTAGGACATCAGAGGAATGAGTACATGATGGTAATAACAGTATCAATAATGGTAACAGCAGCAGTACCTGCGCCTCCCTGGTCCTGCTAACTGCCTGACCCATGCTGAGGGCTTCACATCCTGGTTAAAGCGATTACAAGTCCCCAGTTCTTTTGTCAGTCTCCCGTGGTTTGCATCCAAACTCTTGAAACCCGAGACTTGCCAGCTGTGTTACCTTGGAGACATCACTCACTTCATCTCTCTGAGCCTCCGTTTCTGGATCAATACAATAACAATTCCCACTTCACCAATAACTGTCCTGGGTTTTAGAAAAGTATTCAACATTCCATGGGCTTTGGCATTATCCTTGATTCTCCCATAAGCTCTGAGTAAATCTTTCATTACCTCCATGCCAGTCAATGACCTGAGGCTAAGGGAGCTCCACCAATCCACCCAATCGTGTGTCCTACAAACCAAAGGCAAGATTTTTAACGCAGGCCAGTGTAATTCAGGGTCTAACAGTGTAACCTGACAGTCTTTCACCAAAGTGAACACCTAGTGATGAGGTTGTGAGGCATTTAAGGAAATGTTTGCTGTTAAATCCATTTCATCATGCCTGAAAATATTTCTGTGAACATGGACAGAGGAGCAGAGCCTTCATCACAGACCTCCCGGGATAAACGCCTGAAGGGGTGGATCTACCTGGATAATGGCAGGGTCTGGACCAACTCCCCAGCCCCTCCTGGGTCCCGAAACTCCCAGGGAGATTCCACAATGAACCGTTTAGCCCCTTTCTTCCTGGGCCCTGCCAAAACTCACCCCGTACCAGGACTACTTCAGACCAGGGAGCACAAGTGGCCAAGGCTAACGCTCGCTTTGGCCATGAGATTGGCCACCATGGCTGACCTGGCTGAAAGTGAGTGCAACATTCGGCAAAGGCCCACAGGATCTCGCCCACTCGAGACACCTCTCAGCATCTGGGAGGAACCATGGCAACCTGGTTAGCCTTCTGTAACTTGACTTTGTCGGTCCACTCATCTCGCCCTCCAACGCCCAAGGCCACCAGGTGGAGTAACACCAGGGGAAGCGGGGGGGGGGGGGGGGGGGCAGAGTGTATCCTCGCAGTACACGGTGGGGTTAGGGGTTTACCAAATATGATGGGGCTCCTCAGGTGGTTCAGCGATTAAATAAAGAAAAAGAAGCCGCCGCCCATGGACAGGGGAGCCTGGCGGGCTACTACAGCCCATGGGGTCGCAAGAGTCGGACACGACTGAGCGACTGAATAACAACCTGGAGGAGGCAGCAGTCATTTCTCTACAACTTCTGGGCACTTGTCAGAGCCCAGTGGCTTTCAAGACCGGGAATACATAAGTGGCAAAGCGGCTCCACAAACCAGAGCAGACGGCCGCGGGGACACATCCGGCGTGCCTGCCGGAACCGCCTCAGTGCTCGAAAATGAGCGGTACCGTCACTGGCGTCCACGCACCTGGGTCCGGTGGGTCGGCACCGCCATGACGGGAGCTGCGGTCCAGGCCGCCTGGGAGAGGCGAGCCCGGGGCGGCCCGCTGCCCCTAGCCTCCGCCCGCCTGGGCTGGGCGACCTCGGCTGACCGCCGCCCTCCGCGAACAAGCCGCCCCAGAGCCGGGCGCCGCCCTCGTGAACGCGGAGACCGGGGGAGCTGCTGAGGCCCGAACAGGCCGCGGACCGGCGGGTGACCAGGGCACGCCACCGCCTAGGGACTCACGACCCGTTCAAAGGCACGAAGGGGATCCGCACCCCTCTGCGCGGGCCCCACGAAAGGCCTGGGGAGCCGCGCTAGCCCAGGTCTCCACCCGTCGAATCCTGCCGGGAGCGAACCCTGTAGGCAAATGGCGTCCGCAGAGAGAAACCGGAAGGCCCGCCCACGCCTCAGGAAACGCCCCCTACGTCATTGGCCAGCGCCCGCCTCAGGCGCACAGCCTCTGGGTGAGGTAGTCTCCGCTAGATCCGCGAAGGCGAGGAGCAGGGTAGCCAGCGGGGTGTTTCTCCCCACAAAAAGCTGAGGCCGGCCTAGACGTGCTTCTTCATATTGGATTCAAGTCGGGTGGACGAGGTGCCGGGGGCGAGAGGGTCTGTGCAGTGACCCAGGGAAACTGAGGCTAGGAGTGCTGGGACATTCGCCCCCGGTGGGGCCAAATGCAAAGGGTGTGGGGCTGTGACCTGGGCTTGCAGCTGGCTGAGTGGTTTTCCTTACCCCGCTGCTCCTTCCTGGATCCTCTCTCTCTCTCTCTCTCTCTCTCTCTCTCTCTCTCTCTCTTTTTTTTTTTTTTTTTGTTACCCGGCGAGACTTCTGGGCTCTTAGTTTCCCGACCGGGGATGGAACCCGCATCCCTGCAGTGGAAACTCGGGGTCCTAATTGAGGTAGGAGCTAGATGGGCTTCAGGTTAGACGTTTACAACTAGCCTCCTGTTTGCATTTCCAGAGACAAGATGTGGGTGGACTCCAGTCAAGGCATTTCAAATCAGCCCCCTGTTTGCCCTTCAACATGGAAGTAACAGAAACGGTAAATAGCGAGTCTTCGTTTCTTGTACACTGTGTTCAGTTCTGTGCGACTCTGCGACCCCATGGACTGTAGCCCGGCAGGCTTGTGTGTCCATGGGATTTTCCCAAACAGGAATACTGGAGTGGGTTGCAGGACTGAGCCCTTGTCTCTGGCGTCTCCAGCATTGCAGGCGGATTCTTTACCACCTGGGAAGCTCTTGTAAATGCCTTAAGATAATAGTCATGGCAAAGACAAAGGGGTAAAACCCTGTTTGGGTAAAGTATCCTCCTTTTTTGGGACAAAGGAGACACTGCACATGAGCAGAAAGGCTCCTTGGGGTTAAAAGTCAGGGGATAACACCAGGCCGTAATGAGTCTCCTTCCAGAAGCCTTCACTTCAAGATCCATCTTGGCTGAGGTGTGTGTGTGTGTGTGTGTGTGTGTGTGTGTGTGTGTGTGTGTGTTAGGGTTAAAAGTCAGGGGATAACACCAGGCCGTAATGAGTCTCCTTCCAGAAGCCTTCACTTCAAGATCCATCTTGGCTGAGGTGTGTGTGTGTGTGTGTGTGAGTGCGCGCGCGCGCGTGCACCCAGGGGAGGGTCTTAGCCAGGAATGGAGTACAAAGTGAGATGATTGGCCAGAGGGAAGACAAAGACCCAGAAACCTGCCCCCTTGTAAAGGATTTAAACTTCCCAAAGTCATGACTCTTAAGTTTGCCCATGCACCTTTCTGCATGTATTTTTCAATAAACTTTTTACTTTACACTTTACTTTCTGCCTCCTTGCCTGAATTCACTCTTGACTAGGCAGGCAAGGACTGCGGACTCAAGCCCTAACTACTGGCCCCTGTGGTCCAGTGGTTAGGACTCCTGGTCCGGAAAACTAAGACCTTGCTTCCAGCTACTGTTCACTGCCACTTACTAGTGTGTGCGTCCAGAATCATAACCACTGGACCACCAGCGAATTCCCAAGAGCCTCTTCTGGAAACCTAGCAGGACCGTGTGGAGCCTCCTCCACCACCACACCTCTGTGTGTCCCTACTTCTCGTTTGTGGCAACAGCTTTGGTTGACTTGGCCTCCCTGATTTCCAAACAGGTGGGCTCCAACAGTTAATCATTTTAAGAGGCAACAATTTGAACAAAGAAGAGGCAGTCAAACAGAGAAGGAGAAAATAACTTAAGCAATACGTCAATCTGTAGGACGGGGTCATAAGAGCTTAGCTCTCCTCAAGGAAGACAGTTAACAATGTCTGAAACACTTTTTAAGTTGTTTTTTTTATAGAAACCAAATTCCCACCAGGTGGAAACTGCTGACCTCAAACACATAGACCACAGACTGCTTGGAATCAGAAGATTGATGGTGAGATTCCTGAACACCACCCTGCTACCTCAGCACCAAACAATCAGAAAATTTTCCATGAGCTGATCCTGCATCCTGGGACCCTCTCCCCTAACACTGTCTTTAAAAACCCTTGCCTGGGGACTTCCCTGGTGGTCCAGGGGTTAGGAATCTGCCTGCCAGTGCAGTGGACATGGGGTCGATCCCCTGGTCCGAGAACTAAGATCCCACATGCTGCAGGGCAACTAAGCCCATGCACCACAGCTAGTGAAGCCCTCATGCTCTGGAGCCTGTGGTCAGCAACAAGAGAAGCCACCACAACTAAGAGTAGCCTGCAGTCTCTGCAACTGGAGAAAGCCTGAGCATAGCAATGAAGAGCCTGTGTGCCCTAAGACCCAGTGCAGCCAAATGCTAATTAGTTAATTATAAGTAAATGTGCTTTTTAAAAATAAAAACCCTCGCCTGAAGTCTTCAAGGTGTTCAGGTCTTTTGAGTGTGAGCTCCCCATTCTTGGTTTTCACCCTGAGATAAACGCTGTGCTTTCACCACAACCCAGTGTCAGGTTGGCTTTGTTGTGCATGGAGTGAGTGAACCCGTTTGGCTTGGTAGCATTCTAGGGGAACAGATTTTTTTTAAGTAGCTTAAAAATTACCTTGACAAGGAAACCAGAAGTCCCATCTTGACGCACTGCACACGTGCCCTACTGCACTTCCCTGAGTCTTCCACCCTGAGTCTCCTTCATGTATGGTTGACCTAGATCACCTGAAGAATGGGTTTTCCATCCCCTGAAATGGGGAAGCCACATGTCGAAGAGACCTGGAGGGAAAATGAAGACTCCAGGGTTTTTTTGTTTTGTGTTTTTTTCTTGGCTTCCCTGGGTCTTTGTTGCTGTGCGGGGTTTTTCTCTAGTTCTGGCGAGTGGGGGCTACTCTCTACTTGTAGTATGAGAGCTTCTCATTGCAGTGGCTTCTCTTATTGTGGAGCACAGGCTCTAGGGCACACAGGCTTCAGTCGCTGCCGCCCGCAGACTCAGTAGCTGCAGCTCCCGGGCTCTAGAGTGCAGGCTCAATCATTGTGGCTCATGGGCTTAGTTGCTTCGCAGCATATGGGATCTTCCCAGATCAGGGATTGAACCCATGTCTCCTGCATTGGCAGGTGGATTCTTTACCACTGACTAACCAGGGAAGATGAAGACTCCAGTTTTAACAGGATCAATTTGAAACTTTTATGAGACCACAAAGTATGTGTGTCACTTAGGCATTTCAACCTATGATTGAACATTGAGAGTTCAAGCCTGCATATATAAATTTCAAAGTTGTTACCTTACACTATCATTTCAAGTCATAGTTAGATGAGACTGTCAAGGGAATGAGTGAAGACAGAAGAAGAAAATGATCAGAGTGTGAATACTAGACCTAAGCAATTGATGACAGGAAACTAACAAGCTCACGTCAGAGCTTCCACTGTCCACCAAGAGGTGAATTAAGCAATCTGAGAAGTCACCATTGCTAATTTTCCCCCCATAAATGTGGAGCTGAAAGAATAAAGTGCATTTTTCATGACTTGAGGGTACATACAGATTGAGAAATGGAATTAGAGAGTGCATAAAATGCCCCTAAAGGATTTAATTTTTTTTTTTAAGAAGAGAGAAGTGGAAGCAGTGACAGGTTTTATTTTCTTGGGCTCCAAAATCACTGTAGATGGTGACTGCTGCCATGAAATTCAAACGCACTTGCTCCTTGGGAGGAAAGCGATGACAAACCCAGACAGTGCATTAAAAAATAGAGACAGCACTTTGCCGACAAAGGTCCATATAGTCACAGCTATGGTTTTTCCAGTAGTCATGAACAGATGTGAGAGTTGGACTACAAAGAGAGCTGAGTGTGAAATAGTTGATGCTCTTAGATTGTGGTGCTGGAGAAGAATCTTGAGAGTCTCTTGAACAGCAAGGAGATCAAACCAGTCAATCCAAAAGGAAATCAACCTTGAATATTCATTGGAAGGACTGATGCTGAAGCTGCAGCTGCATAAAAAGAGCTGACTCAATGGAAAAGATTGTGATGCTGGGAAAGATTGAGGGCAAGAGGAGAAGTGGGTGGCAGAGAATGAAATGGTTAGATAACATCACTGACTCAATGGACATGAGTTTGAACAAACTCTGGGAGACAGTGAAGGACAGGGAGGCGTGGCATGCTGCAGTCCATGGGATTGCAGAGTCAAACACAACTTAGCAACTGAACAACATAAGAGATTTATTTCAAGGCATTGGGTTATGCAGTTGTGGGGCCTGGCAAGTCCAAAATCCACTGGGTAGAGAACAGATTGGAAACTGCAGTTGGAACTAATGCTGCAGGCTTGAAGCTGAATTTTTTCCTCAGGGAAACCTTACTTTTCCTCTCAAGGCCTTACAGCTGATTAGATAAGGAAGACTCAATCAAAATAAAATCCTTTGCTTAAAAGATTGGATAATCAGTTGACTAACTGATTGCAGATGCTGAGCACATCAACAAAATACCTTCCAGCAACACCTAGATTAGTATTGGATCCAATAACTGAGTAGCATAACCCAGGCCAGTTTACACATAAAACAAGCAATCATATCCCACCCCTTCTCAACTTGGCACTCACACATATTACCTAAGACCATACTTAAATC